AAAAATTGCTAAAAAATCCCAGAAAATTTCTGAAGCCTAATTTAACCCTCTTGGACCTTCTTGAAGCTTCATAGCATCCTTTGATGAATATTACATGGCTTTAAAAATATTTACAACTTGAAATACAATGGGAAAAATAAATTACATCATTGAACTTTCAAACGGCTAAATCAAAGCCTTAATTACATTCATCCAAAGATAAAATTACATGTAATATTCCTATAAGCTTCATCCATGGCCCAACCATACATTATCATTCATTCACAATTATTCATACATCATTATGTATCAATATATATCAACATATTAAATCATACATCAACATACATCAATAAAAATATATATGAATATAATTTTGGATCCATGAATGATGATTTTCATAAAATCATGATCTCTAGTAATGAATCAAACCATGCTCTGATACCACTGTTGGGAAACGTGCTAGTTTTAAAAACTTTTCGAGGGATTTAAATTCATAGATCTTGATTCATCACATAGAGACAAGTTTTATGCAAAAAATAAAATAAAATATGATGTATTATTCAACTAAAAGATTGAATACTTACATCAAGGTTTGAGTAAACCTCAGATCTCTCCTCTAAAGTGAATGTTCTCACTTATTGTAGATCCCTTTTGCTAGATGCATTCTCCTTGGATCTCCATCTTCTTGGTAATTGTTTTGCCTTTAGGAATCACTCATATGCCTCCATGAATGACCTTGGAAAACTAGGCTTGTGGGAGCCTCCATTAGATGAGAACATAAACCCTAATTTTCTAGAGAGAGAAAATTTATTCATTTTTCCTTCTCATAAAAATCACACCCTAAAATATACATAGACCATGTATATTTATAGGCAACATAAAAATAAAGAAAAGGAAACAACAAATCCTTCTCCATCTCTAATTCATATGTCTCAAATCTAATATGATTCCAATATCAAGTTGGGCTATGAGTGAGAATCCATTGGGCCTATTATTTTATTGGCTACAATGAATTAATAATTGGCCCGGTCCATGGACCCAATTCAATTAATTCATAAATTAATTTCTACTCCACTAAAAGAAATTAATTGAACTCCAATTAAATAATAAATAACCTCTAAGTCAATATTGCACTTTGACCCCTCTATGCATAATTAGTTATCGGATAAATATAGCCATCAATCCGACTACTTAATTAATATATTTATTTTGGTACCTTTGATTATTTCTGGCTCGATCACAATAAAACATTTGTTTGACAAAAATAATAATTTAAATAAATAAATATATAATAAATCATTTTGTCTAAAAACACACGAAGGCCTTCGAATTTACTTTGTGATCAACCATAATCAATACAAAATAAATACAAGTAGCAATGATGCAAATATTGAAAATATAACCCTCTAACTATTAATTACATAACTACCCAAAGTGTCGGTCTAAGGATCCCGAAGAATCCGCCGAACAAATCAAAGTAATTATTAATTAATAAAAGAGTCTATACTTTTCTCATGCTTAAGAGTCAAATGCCATGACGGTGATAGGGAGTAATTGCATACGACGGCTCTCGCAATATATCTCAACCTAACGCGGATCCAGTTCAAGTCTTAATTAATTATGAGTCCATCCATAATTACCGACTATGAACAATTTATAATTACTATTTATATATCATGCATTGATTGTCATCACATACATATATATAAATATTTCTTGTAATTAACTGGACACTATCAATTTCATAGTGAATTTGAAATATAATACATTGAATTCACCAATTATATAAATCATAAATATTTCAGATATGTCAGGAACATATGTCAATACAATCCAGATAGGAATTTGCTATGCCAGGGCATATAAATCCTAACAGTTTAGGCATCTGGGTAGATTTGTTACTGGATCATTGATCCGATTCGAATTCGATAAACATAAAAGGCTATTCGATTCGATCTTATCCGATCCGATATCCGATAATTTGACGAATTTCATTTTATAAATTTATAAATCTGATTCGGTTAAATTATCCATGAATCAAGCAATTGGGGCCAAACAAGACTTTCTCTGACTGAATCTAATGGCATGCTTTTTTTTTTCCTAGGTAAACACTAAACTAATGGCATCGTTCACTAACATTATGTTTAAAAATGTATCTAAAGGCAGAATAGAATATTACAATTTTTCGATACAATCACTTGGTTTTGTATTGTTCTTTAAAATACTAAAATCATAATAAAGAGAGAGAATGAGAAAAAGAGGGGAAAGAAGAAGAAGAAGAAGATGATGAGCATGTTTCTTCTATGGGTCTTATTAATAGCTTTGATTTACTTAGTTAGGAGGAGGTTATATTTGAGGCAGCAGGTGCGGTTTGTGTAGGAGAAGGGGGAGGATCTGCTAAGACTGCTAGCCCGCAGAAGACTAAGCAGCAGTCTGAACAACCCTCCTTGCCCTCCCAAAAGTGGGAATGCCTGTATCACCCATGTGCAAGGCTTCAAAGGCAATATTGCCTAAAGACTCCTCAGTCAGGTAGTCAGGGTTGAGGGGATTTCACACCACATGTGCCTTTCCAAAAGTCTAAACCTGGCTCTGCAAAGCTCGAAATCAAAGAAATCAGCAGAAACCCCCAAATGATGAGCAAGAAAACCAAAGAAGCAGGGAAGACAAGTGGGACAAACACACTCGTATTTGTGCCTTTTATAAGAAGAATATGAGGGTAGTTTGCAGGCCCTAAACTGCTTGGAAATGGGAAACCCTCTGGAAGCCCTACAATGCCAATTACCCCTTACGGCAATAATATTTTTCTTCCAACCCTTGTTCAAGTCTTGGTTGCTAGTGCATAATTTACGATCGGGAATTGGATGAAAATGATATTGTCTTACTAATTTTGACAACTTTATAGCAGAACAGGAGATCAAACAGATCTAAATCTAGGTCCCTTTCCTGGTTCATGAGAATGAATGTAGATACTATCCTAGCAAGGGGCAGTTATTAGCCTCTTACTTCCCTTTCCTCTTACTTCCCTTTCCAAGGAGGTTCGGGTTCGAGTACCAAGCAGGAAAAAGAAAAAAAAATGTAGATACTATCCTAAAGAAGTATGGATTAACTTGCAAAATGGCAAACCCCAATTTGTTAAAAACAACATGGAAGAAACGGTGAAGTGGGAACCTAAGTACGCCAAGTTGGAATGCAGTGAATATAATCTCACCATCGGCAAGACCCCTGCCAATACGAGCACCCGAGTGATCACGGTAATGCCAGATAAAGACATCACCGTGGATGTTGCAGCGAGTATGTAACTCGTCAAGATGAACCATGATACAGAAAGTAAGAAAACTTGACAAACATAAAGTGTAAAAAGTAGAAGGGAATTGACCTCAAGAAATGAAGAAGAAGACCGTGAAGAAAGAGTATTGATCGTCAGAGATGGAGGACGGTCATAAATTCGGTTCTTGCCGTAGAAGATCTAAGATGAAAAGGCTAAAGCAAGTCACAAAAGTAAAGTAAGTACATACTTGGTCAAGCTTAAAAACGAGGCAGATGTGTAGATTGAAGCGACGAGATCGTCAGAGTAATGATGACTTCACACTGACCAAGGGATAGAGACCCGAGCCAACCAATCACACGTCTCCCACGTCACAACTACAGTTGTCTTCAGTGCAGATCTCATCTCAATTTTAATTTCGCCTTGTAGTATCTTCACCCAGTCTATTAGAATACACTACCACGTTATTGGTGTATAAAATTATTATATATTTTATATAACTTTTTTACACAATCATATCAATATATATTTTTTTCTCACTCTTCTTTCGTTCTATTAATCAAACTTATATCAAGTATATTTATAAAAATTATGTAGAGTCCAAACATTTGATACTGATTAATTATTATTGAGATATATATTTTTACATAAAAGATATAAAACAATTGCCGGAATTAAAAATAAATAATTCAAATTTTTTGCATAAATCTATTATGACATTTAAATTTATACAAAAAAAATATATATATATATATACATAGAACGGTTTGAAAATGTCTTAATGATTAAGACGAAATTAGGGAGCAGGTGAAGAGTCAAGAATATCCAGGGGCGAAGTTTGGCCCAGCCCACACCCGAGTGGATAACACCGCGGTCCTATGGCCCAAGAAGAGGAGAAATTGAGCCCAACAAATTAATGACCCATAGAGAATGGGACGAAATGGGAGACAGACTTAGACCAAAAGGGATGGAAAAGGCCCATGAACCTCCAACTCAATAAAGAAGAAAGGAAATCAGGGCAAAAAGAGGAGAGATATTTAGAATGGAAAGTAAGGACAGAGAAAGGTTGCTTGGGTGTGAGAAAAACTTTCCAAAAATAGGAAATTGATTTTCTTGCTCCTTAGTTGAGTTTGCTTAACCTTTCAAATATATATATATATATATATATATATATATAGGGGCGGAGCCAATGTATGCCCAGGAAGCACGTGTCCCCCTGACCTGGACCCGCTTATTATAATACATATACTAAATTTATATATTTTTACATATATATATGAAAATTTTTATTTTTTAAAATTATCTCTTAAATTTTATATTTCTTCTCTTTTTTATTCTTTAAATTCGTTTAATTTCCTTTAAAAAAAATTCAAATTTTCCTTTTTGAATCAAATTCTAATTTTTTTTCTTTCAAAATTCTCTCATTTTTCTTTCCTTTTTAATTTTTTTTGTTATCTATTTATCAATCTTAAATTACTCATTGCTTGATTTATAGAATCTATATTTATTATTGTGATTATTAAAATTATTTTTTTTACACTGTGCCCCCCTAAATCTAATTTCTGGCTCTGCTCCGCTGTGTGTGTGTGTATATATATATATATGACTGTGTGAACTGGCATGTTCCCTTCAATTCCCTGCTGCTTTGAGATGGGAAAATTTACACATTTCTTAAATATCATCCCGAGTAAAGTTATATTTCTTAAAATAATATGGTCAACTGACAGCAAGCCACATATTTTTATTATTCAAATTAAGAACACTTGATACAATGTGGTGGTTGTTGCAGGAACTGGCTCCTGGCTGCTGCAACTATTTCTATTCTCTCCCACTTCTCTTTCCTCTTCATCTCCTCTTGTCCGGCTGCAAATTCTTGGCGCTCAATCTCTTGGAGGCATTTCGAGTACAACCCCGGTTCAGTTTCTTCCAACATCACCTTCACGTTCTCTGTCAGCTGTTGAACACTCTGGCTCCAATGGATTTTTAGGTTCTTCTCCACGCCTGCAACTATCACCGGAAACACCTCTTCCGTTGACTGTGACACCATCTTTATAAACTGCTCGTTGTTCCATACATACAGTGCTCGCTCCGCCACCTAAATATAATGCAATTTTAGAGCTTTAACATCATCATATAACTATATAAATGTGAATGCCACATAAACAAACATAAATTGGCTGATGCTACATATATTATATAGTACATTTGAAAGGAAACAAGGAAGTTTGTCCCTTCTGTGCAATGTCTATATATATTAATATAAACAGACACATAATACAGATGACAAATAAACAAGTAGTTTGCCATTTCAATCCTATGTCCCTGACTGCAGGAAAAAAAGATAATAAATGAAGATTTCCATGACGAAGAACACAACTCATGTCCAATAGCTAAACAATCTGAATTGTGTCAACATACAAATCCAAACCTACTAAAATTAGAAAACCATGTTTAAATTGTTCAGATATGAAAAATAAAAAAAACAATTGATTGTATTAGATATGAAAAAAAAAAAAAAAAAAAGTAGGAAGCTCATTTCTATAAAGTGTTGGCTTTGGTTTCCTGGTCAACGGTTCAAATCCTACTTGGATTTATCACTTCTCTGACTGAGCTTCCGCTGTCCTCCTTAGTTAATTTCTAAACTAGCAGAATTATGGATGATGAAGTTGGGCATGTATTGGGTTGTTGCTTGAGTTTTTCACTTTGCGTGGGTGAAAATTTTAAATGATAAATTCTAAAACTATTGTTCTAAAGTGCTCAAAACAAAAGCTAGTTTGTTGGCTCCCAAGGAAGCACAGATGGGTGGATTTCGAGCTGTTCCAGGCAAAGGGAAGGGTATTATGATTACCAATATCACGGAACTGAGTGATGAACCCGGATCCTGTCCTCCACATGGGGTGAGGTCCATGTTATCTGTCAGGACCCCACTCCATATAGGATGATCGCCACCATTCCCCTGGCCACGACACCATGTCGTGTACAGGACCAGATCCTCTTCCCTAGCTGATTTGAAATTCGAAACCTAAATATTTGATAGGCAGGTTGAGGTCCCAAAAGCAGCTCTTTTGTGTATGCATCAATATGCATACAGAATCTAGGAAAAATAAAACAAACAAAAGAAATTGTGGGCAGTACCTGTGAATTACAACTGTTGAAGCACTTTGTAATTTGGGTACATATAAGAGGAGCCAACTTCCTATACTGCTCAGGATCAATATTCTCCACAAGCTCCTCCAATTCTCCTATAAGCAACACTTCCTTCTGGCAGTTAGTGACAGGCCAATACCTTAGTATCCCTCTAACTACAACCCCGCCAAGCAAAGGCTCCTTCTGCACAAACTGTGAAACACAATAAGCAAGCTGCCTATGATAAGCCTGAATACCTTTCGGCTTGTGCAACGGCACAAGAACTCTCATCAAGAACAGCTTGTGCTCTTCCTTGAGTGGGACAGTGAAGCCGTTTATGATGCTTCCCCAAATCTCAAGCAGCTCTGCAATACCAAAATGGGGATCCGTCTCAAATATGTAGTGAAGGAACACATCATTCATTGCTTTTCTCATGAATGACCGGTAGAAGGTGAACTTGGAATATATCCGGTGGTACACGTTCTTCAAGCTCTCGCGTTCTCTTGGATCTTCGGATTGGAAAAGAGACAGGAGATTGACAAGGAAAGGTTGGTCAATATAGTCTCGGAGTGCCTTGGCCTCCATGCTTATGACCAGACGGAGAAGGACGTCGTAAACAATTTGCAAGTGTGGCCATGCCATGGTAGGTGTGGTGGCAAGATCCTCATCATCAGGTAAGAAGCATGTGCCCGATTTGTTACAAGGTGGAGGGAGTGGCCTAAAGAGGTTGGTCGATATCATGGAGAAGAGAGGTTGGAAGACTTGATCTTGGAGTTGGGTTTTCGGAGATTTTATGATAGATAGGAGCTGGAGGAGCTTCTGGCGCTTGAGGTCTTGCTCTGAAGGAGATTCCAGAGGATCGGTGAACGTGTAGGTGAAGGAGCAGAAAGGGATGACAGAAAGAACTTCCTCATTCTCTGTCTCGAATAAAGATCCCCTACTGATGCTGTCTCTTCCGGAGAGATTGCTGCAATTATTTTTCTTGGAATCAAGATCAAACAGGTGCTGCAATGTTGTAGATTTGTTCTTTGGTGAGGGCTTTGGGCTGTTTCTTTGAGCTCCCATCTCTTTTCTCTCCTGTGTTTTCTCTAACAAACTATTGTTTTAGAGTTTAGATTATATTTCTTCATAGTGAAGAGAGTGAAAGACACAGAATGTTCTGATGTTTTATAATCTATCTTGTTTCTTTGTTGTGTCCTAAAGAAAAATCCAAAAGACAGCGATGATTTATAGGGAGAATTGTAATATCCAATAATGTTGTATAGATTTTTCCGACCTTCACATTAAGACAGGTAAGATGAGACGTATCATATATGTTCATGGAGAAGATTTTCTGTGCTCTTGATTCTCATGTGGGTGAGTGACACGTGGACAACTCTGCCAATGATTAAGGGACCGGCTTGTGGAAAAAATTAATAAGAATATATATGATCAGCAAAGGACAACATCCTATTTAGACATTCATTGCATCTTGCATGCGGCTTCACCAACCCAACAATTTTCAGTACCAAAAAAATAAAATAAAATAAAATAAAAATAAAATTAACTTTTTGGTTGGAATAAGTTTTAAGAAAACAAGTGAAAGAGTTAAAAGGCCTCTGGCTCGTATAACCTTCCTATCCTCAGAGACGAGGTTGTGTTTTGAGCACGTAAAAGTGTGCGGTATAACATTTTTATTTTTAAAGAGGCGGGGTGAGGTTCGAGCCCGAGCGTGACCAAAAGTGCATGTTAGTGCTTTCCGGATAAAAAAAAATAATAAAGAAAAAAAATGAAAGAGTACTCAGCCAATAGATATAAGCAGATTCAAATAGACACATTAACAGATGTACATGTAAAATTCACATATATATCCACCAGTTTTTTAGAGTAATCTTCTGTACTATGTTTTGCTGAATAAATTCAAGAGTTCAACTATTGAAAGCACTCCTAAAAGGGAACTCATATTTCTAGGAAAAGTTCTACAAGAAATATTTAAACAGATATAAAATTAGTGTCATTCTGGAAGTTGAAGCAAGTGGAATGTTTAATTATCATCTTTTCATCAGTTTTTTCGTTGCTCTCAAACAACGGAATCTAAATTTGTAATGGACATCAAAGGTTTCTAGCTTGAAATTACTTCCAAATAATAAATCTACAACAAGATATATACAATTTGATTTACATTTTTGAATTGGGTACAACTTCAGAGAGAAGCTTTCTTCAAGGAAATTGCTAAATTCAAGATTTCCTTTATTCTTCATCTAATATTAATTTATATCTGGTGTGGGGTTAATAGTTTTCATTTCCCATATCCCCTCAAGTGAGATTTTAATGATAGGTTCTCTAGGAATTGGACGGTCCTATTTGGTCAAATATCTAGCGACAAACTCCTATATTCATTTTATTACCATATTTCTAAATAAGTTCCTAGATAACAAGCCTTAAGTTTTTCTAAGTGATGACATCAATATTGATGAAAACGACGATATTGATGCTAAAAAGCTATGTTGGAAATGCTCACACAAAAAACGTACAGTTAAAAATGCTCACACGGAAAAAGCACAGTTGGATTGAGAGAAATGTACCCTCAATCTCTCAATCTAACAGCTAAGAGAGCACTCTCCATGTGAGACACCATCATGGATGCTAGAAGTGCATAAGAAAGAATGTTAAGTGAAAATTGGAATCTTATTGAATAACTATGGAATGGAAAGAAAAGGAAAGGATGATGACAACCCTCATCTATTTTTTTTTTCGCAAAAGATAGTGAATATAAATGAAAGATCAACAACTACAGTTTCATTATTTAAATAAAAAGGAAGAAGTAGAATTTCAATAGTTGCGGAAAATAGAGACAGAAACAAACAATCACTGAAGTCTCTCTTTCTTTAGCTCAATATTCTCCAACTAATTTTTTTTTTTTTTTTCTTAGTTGGTACTCACACACACGTCTTTACTGAAACTTGAACTCTAGATCTCCCTTTGAAAAGTAAGAGACTGATACCGTAGGCCACTTGTCCGTTGCTAATATCCTCCAACTTTTGAAAAGAGAGCAAAATCAGTATTCGACGATTTATTTTCCCTCGATTTCCTTTCCTTTCCTTTCATTTCTTTTCCTTCCAACTCTCTCTGTCAGAACAAATTGTTAAGCAATAGAGCCCACTGGATAAGATTTGTCAAAACCAAGAAAATATGAAACAAGAAGTGACATCAAGGTGCTAATTCAAAGTTTTGATGTTGATGGCAGAACAGTGACTATTTCTAACTCAAAAATTTCCTTGCAAAGATAGAAAATACCAATCTTAAAACAAAGAGACAAGAATCAGAATCAATAGCCTAGCCATCAGTCCTGGTAAAAAGGACACTACGTACGCAGTGGGTGCTTGGAGAGTGCCAAAGAGGGTGGACTATGTAACATTATTTATTCATCAATATGTCAATGGTAGTTCTTGTAACCTTCAGCTGGCACCTGTTTATGACGCGGTATCTAATACAAGTTCCGTTACATTTGAGAAAAGGAAAAGGAGGAGAAGGTTGCCTACTTAAAGGCAACATTTAAGCAATATTATTGGAAATGACAGCAATGCTATGGAAGTAAGAACAATTATACGTCAAACACCAGCAATGATATGGAAGTAGGAACGGTTATATTAGTAAGGCAGAACCATATCCGACAAGTATCAACGAATGAATAAAAAAAAAAAAAAAATTCAAGTACATCATAGTAATAAATAATAATAATAACAAAAATATTATACAAGTAACTTTCACAAGAAGATGGTGCACAAGGAAAACAAACCTGAAAAAATCACCGAGAAGGAAGTGAATCAGCAACATTTCAAGGCCTCCCAATGTCACAAATATGCACAACTCATGCAGCCATCATCCAAGAGAACTGGAAATTTGCATTAAGGGTATCACTTTATGATTACATTGTCAAGATCAAAGATATGTTGCTTGTGTTGTGATTTGTATGCCTTGTCATAAGAAATTTTTATTTGGATTAAAGTAACATATGTTCCTAACATATCTGAAATATTTATACTTTATATAATTGGTGAATTCAATGTATTACGTTTCGATCATTATGGAATTGATAGTGTCTACTTAATTACAAAAGATATTTATATTTATGTGGTGGTGATTCATACATGAATATAAATAGTAATCATAAATAATTTATAGTCGGTAATTATGGATGGACTCATTATTAACTAAGACTTGAACCGGATTCGTGTTAGGTTGAGAAATATTGCGAAAGCCGTCATATGCAATTACTTTCTATCACTGTCATGGTATTTGACTCTTAAGCATGAGAGAAATATAAACTCTTTCATTAATTAGTAATTACTTTAAATTGTTCGGCGAATTCTTTGGAATCCATAGACCGACAATTTAGGTAATTATGTAATTAATAGTTAGATGGTTATATTTTTAATAGTTGCATCATTACTACTTGTATTTATTTTGTATTGATTATGGTTGATCACAAAGTAAATTCGAAGGCTTTCGTGTGTTTTAGATAAAATAATTTTTTATATATTTATTTATTTAAATTATTATTTGTGTCAAACAAATGTTTTATTGTGATCAAGCCGGAAATAATCAAAGGTACCAAAATAAATATATTAATTTAGCAGTTGGATTGATAATTTTATTTATCTGATAATTAATTATGCATAGAGAGATCAAAATGCAACATCGACTTAGACGTTATTTATTATTTAATTGGAGTTCAATTAATTTCTTTTAGTGGAGTAGAAATTAATTTATAAATTAATTGAATTATGTGCATGGTATAATGGACCGGGTCAATTATTACTTCATTGTAGCCAAGAACATAATAAGCTCAAAGGATTCTCACTCATAGCCCAACTTGATATTGGAGGCCCATTAGATTTGAGATATCATGTGAATTTTAAAGATTGAGAAAAATATATTGTCTTCAATTATTAATTTTATTTTGCTTTTATATACATAGGGTCCATATATATTTTAGGTTGTGACTTTGTGGAATATTTTTGGAAGATAAGAAAATATTTTCTCTTTATAAGATTTTAGGATTAGTGTTCTCATCTCATGGAGGCTCCCACAAGTTAAGCTTTCCAAGGTCATTTATGGAGGCTTATGGGTGACTCCTAAAGGCAAGATCATTACCAACAAGGAGATCCAAGGAAGAGGCATATAGAAAAGGGATCTATAATAAGTAAAGACATTCACTTTAGAAAAGAAATTTAAGATTTACTCAAACGTTGATTTAAGTTTTCTATCTTTAATTGAATGGTTCATTATGTTCTTCATGCATAAAACTTGTCTCTACACATGAATCAAGATCTTTATTTGAAAAACCCTCTAAAAGTTTTTAAAACTTCCGTTTACCCAACAATGGTATCAGAGCTAGAGTTGATTCATGTATAGAGATCATATTTTTATTAAAGAAAATCATCATTCATAAATCCAAATTTATATATGCATATGTATATATTAATATATGATGATAATGTATGTATATTTGTGATTGGATGATAATGATGTATACTTGGGCTATGGATGAAACTTATAGGTTAATTAAATGTAATTTTATCTTTGGATGAATGTAATTAAGGCTTTGATTTAGCCATTTGAAAATTCAATAATGTAATTTTTTTTCCCATTGTATTTCAAATATAAAATTTATTTAAAACCATGTAATCTTTATTAAAGGATGTTGTGAAGCTTCAAGAAGGTCCGAGAGGGTTAAATTAGGTTTCAGGAATTTTCTAAATTTTTTTAGAATTTTTTGGGCCAAATTTAATATTTCTGGAATTTAATTTAAAATTTCTGGATTTTTCGGTGGTCGAAGTGCCGTTGGCGACAAAGGTGGCACCGGAGTGATATAAGGCTGATCCAGTGCGGCGCGGTCCACATGCGCCCGCACCAGCTGCCATAGGATCATGATCAGTGGGCAAAATGATATGGTGCGGTGCAGCCTAAGGTGCACTCCATGTGCACCCTATGTAGAGGGCACGTAAGGCGCATGTGCCAGTATATACGGCACTAGTAGGTGCGTGCCAGCGCATGGCACGTACTGGAAACTCCCACCGTGC